GCTTTCTTGGAACCCCAGCAGAGTAGGTACTGAAAAAGGATCTGATCTAATGGAAAAGCCTAAAAACTAAATTGAGTCGGTCACTACTTTTATAAATGAGGCTTTTAGAGAAGAAGGAGAATTTGGACCTGGAATCAGCTGATAGCAACAAACTTAGAATAAACAGTTTATGAGGGGAAGAGATGAAGCAAAAAAGCCAAAGACCAATTGTTTTATTAGTTTTTTAAACCCACATCCTTTATTTATTTTAGTCTTTTGGAGCAAATGGGAAAACAATGAAGGAAGCAGATCAGAGTGTCAAGTTTCAGTTACAGCTAAACTGTTATTTGCACTATTGCCTGTTTTCAGAGAGGAAGGCTGAAACATACGTGTGTTCTTAACTTCTTTGACAAAGCAAAACTGCACTAAATATTTTGTCTATCAGCTCTGAGAGTAATTTCACGAGAGGACTAAGAGATCTGGTTAAAAATTTATGAGCAGTGGGATTTGTTCAGTCCTCCAATGGGAGCTAAACTGTGGCACAGAGAGTTGGGATGCTGTCTTGGCATGGTCACATGGACTCCAGCAATTGGATGGCGTCATCTGCCTGAAAGTGGTCTTAACATTACTCACATGCACCAATTAATCCTGTCAGCCAAACAAGACTGTCCACCTTAAGTAGCTTTGATAACTGGACCTGACCATAGGTACACTCAGTTGTTGTCTTGGATCTTTCTCCAATAACATTTAAGCTGTTGCGCCCACATTGAGCTGCATCAAGTCTTGTCTGATAAGTCAAACTCAGTTTTAGAGAATCTGCTTCCATTTCCTCATATTTAAAGAATATAATGCTAACACCGTCACCTTTACAGGATACAATTAGAAAACCAGAGTTAAACCAGATAATCCGTTTTAAATGTTTCACTCTGATTACTACCTCATTCAATAGCTGATTTTCACAGTTATTATTACTTTTTAAAAAATCACATCATGTTGCCAGAATGCATCTTATTTCTATATTGTTCTCTAAGTTTCAGGAGTGTAGATTTACCCCTGATATTTTTATGTAGTTATGTTGGAAATCACACCTTCACCAAGTAATAATAAAACTGAGAAAACACCATCTGATCCTCACTTTATGTCATAGCTGACGGAGATCTCAGGTCCAGTGAACAATCCAAAAATTACTGAGCTGACTTGTTTTGTTCACTGGGCCTGAGATCTCCGGTAGCACCCCTGCTTGCACACCTTTGGATTTGTGCTCTTAATTATTTATTTTCATTAATTTAAGCTTCATCAATAAATGTGGCATTAGTACGATACAGAAGTAATAGTGCACTGAGGAAAGAAAGTTCTGGTTCTCGGTCTATTAAAGCGTCTTGCTGCAGCGCACAGTGACTTTCTGACTTGGGCTGAAGTGATAATTACACCTTGACCAACCTGCGTTCATCATCAGCTGAGACAAAAATGTGGATTTTCATGCTCTGCTACATTTGAGTTTTTCTGTTTTGTGACAACAGCACATTTCATGACTCTGAACCTTTCAAAGCTTCACGAGTCCAGTAAAGCTCTTACATGTGACATACCTGAAACTGAAGAAGTGCCTTTACATAATGAAACATGTTGCCATGAAGCGAAGTTTTGTCTTTATGTCATCTAAACAAGATTTGTAATGTGACTCCAGCTTCTGTTAGTAATGTTGTGTTACTGTTGAAATGTGAATTGTTTCTTTAAAGGGCCCATAGTCACAGCTGCCTCCACACCAACACAAGTTCAACATGAGTGAAACAGAAACTCTGACTGTATCCCAATTCAGGGTCTGCAGCCTTAAAGTACGCAGCCTCAACAATCCTCAAGGGCCGCGTACTTAAAGACCGCTAAGGCCGGAAGTGCGAGGCTTGTGAAATGGGACGGTCTAGCCTCCGTCGCTGCCCAGGTTGCCTAGCAACCATGATACTAACAGCTGGAAACGTTTCATACAGCTTTGTTTGACAGAAATGAAGGAGAAAATCTTTTGTTCATTTGTTTGTTTGTTTCTACATGAGCTTTGATCATTCTCTGTAAGATTAAGCTCAGCTATTGAACGGCGTATATTTTAAAGTAAAGGCTTTAAAACCAAGTTAGTGCAAACGTCACTAATGTCACATAACTTTGCCGACATGTGGCCAACAGTAATGTTTTAATGTTCCTCATTATTAAACATTTGCACATAAATAAGTGATATAATATTCAGTACTCACTTAAAGTTTACTCTTCGGGCGCCCCTCATCCGCCGTTTTTTCGGCAAAATTATCCACACCCACCGCCGCGCTATGCGTTCTGGGATATGTTGGGCCACGAAGTCTACACCGCCACGTCCTTAAAATTCAGGGAAATGAAGGACGCATTTGAGGGCCGCATTTCGAGCAGCCTTCGAATTGGGACAGCCTTCGTCGTGTCGCGGTGATGTAATCGGCCTTAAAATGTGGCCTTTAAGGCTGCAGACCCTGAATTGGGATACAGCCTCTGACTCCGTCTATGTGAAAGGTTCATGGGTCAACATCACATTAACCATTATGGAGTCTCTGATATAAAACCATGATATGATCCAAATGGAGGATCATGTTTATTATTATGGAGAAAACCACAGAGAGAGGCTCAAACTGTTTTTGTGTCACGTTAACTTCTGCTGTGAGTTTAATATTAAACATTCTTACTTTAATAACCAGTGAGATCTGAGAGAGATGAGAACAGATTTATAAAGGGGGGCTGTTCATGATGGACCACACGTAGCACACCCATTTCCAGGAACCAGCACTGCATCATGTGACTTATCTTTAAGGCATCTTCAGGTTGAAGAATGCTGCTGCTCAGGTCCTGATGAAGACAAATGTATGAACGCATCAAAGCTGCCAAAGTGCCAGAGCAGAATTTTAAAAATGTGCATGTCTTTGCATTAAATGCATCACTGGGTGAGGCTAAATATCTTTTTACATAACACCACAGTCACGAAGAGTGTGACACAAAATGTAGATGCAGTTGTATCACAGCTGTTAGCAGGACAAAGAGCTTTAAGAAGACATGAAGAGCATTATTGTTGAATATCTTTAATCCTGCAGTGACAAACTTATTTCAGTGTTTCCTGTTGCTGTTGTCCTGTTTGTGTAAGAAGAGGCTGAATAAGCATCCATCAGTGGGAGGTTCCCATCAGGTATCTCCACCATGGACTCCACCTCCAACCCCGCTCTCCAGGATCCACATAAAGAGAGACGGACGGACGGGGGGGGGGGGAGGACTCAGCTCTGGTTTCATGTGGGGGTATCACAGGGATCAGTACTTGAAACTCTGCTATATCTCTATATATCTATATCTCCTGCCCTCTGGGTTTAGAAGACACCAAATTGCCATCCATTGATGCAGATAATGCAAAGGCTTGTATGCTCATAGAAAAGAAAAATCAATTTGGGTTTTAAAATGGTGATTTTAGGTTTGACAGTCAATCTGAATGTTAACCTTCTCCTAGAAATAAACGAAAACACCGATTTTAACAGAGTTTTATTCATGCTGCCCAAAACTCTTAATTCTAAGACATAGGTGTCAAACTCTGGCCCGCGGGCTAAATTTGGCCCGCGAAGCCATACCAAATTACTATTAGAGCTGGCCTACTGGTATTATACAGCTAATATATATATTGTTTAGTATTAAGCTTTGCTTGTTCCATATTCAGTTTTCCAGCAAAACTTGTTTGAGTCCATAAGAAAAGATTCATTCTTATATCTGGAGGAAGATTTTTATTTTCAATAAAAAATAATGTTAGCCCGCGACCTTGTTCCAGTTTTGAATTTTGGCCCACTGTGTATTTGAGTTTGACACCCCTGTTCTAAGAGATCAATTGATCACATAAACAGTATTACTGTCATGAGAGTATACCTTAGAGGAGTCAGAGGTGACACCAGAATAAGGTAAACATATTTCTTTCTTTTTGCAATATTAAAAACAAGTACTATAACATTAAATATCAGTCATCTTCTCAACAATGCCATGTTCACCTTAGAATCCTTTTTGTCAGGTGGATGTTACGTTCACCAGCTGTTTGTTGGTCTTTGGTTTTACTTTAATGTACAATGACTCTACATTTTGCAATCAAGTCAAACTGAGGACACTAAGGATCTCCAGAACCATTATTCATGAGAGAGCTCAGAGAGGTTTTTCAGAAGATAGTTACCAAATTATGGTAGTAGAATAAAAATGTACAATTAAAAATACAAATTTATTACCGTTCCCAAAAAAGATGTAAATGTTTTGGTTGATTTGTATTTTCAGTCTTTACTGCATCATTGGCGATGACAGGAAGGAAGAAGCTTTTTATTTGTGAATTTAAGGCAACTAGCAAAAAAATTATGGCTTTTAAAATGTGTTGAACACATTTCCAACATAGTAACATCGACAGTATATTTACACTATAAACACATACAATAAACATTTACTACACAGTACACATAACAGGAAACGTTTGTCTTCTAGCAAACCATCAGCACATTTTCAGTGAGACATTTCAAAAGCTGCTGAGTTAAACCGAACAATAAAAAGCACTAAATACAAATGTATTTAGTGCTTTTTTAAAAGCCTCAATAATATTTGTCTTAATGAGGTTTCTGCTGTGATGTCACATGTGCAGAGTTATCCACCATACTGAACGTAATCAGAACCACCTGAAGTGTGTATTCCCTGACCAGAAAAAATTCAGTCATGAAGAGGGCGTTACACCAAAAACCTCTCCTTGCTTTGACTGCTAGCAGATTGCCACAGTTGCGCATAGTTTGGATGGAAGAAGCAGACTCCTGCAGGAACGTGCCAGCTGACCACTGAGGAGTAGTAAAACTTGAAAAGTGCAACGCAAACGAGAAACGGAGAATATTAGCCTTCAAAATAAAAGAAACGCCTCAGTGCAGCAGCTGAGAACAAATGGTGTTTGCAGACAAGTTGGTGTATTCCATCAAACTGGAGTGACTGCAGCAATCCATTAACTAACCAAGGAATTGTAAGGCTTTAACCAACCAGTTGTATTTTTCCCTGGTGACAGGTGGTTACCAGAGCTCCAGTCCTGTGACTAAGGTCCTACTCACTTAACCCTACATGACCTGTTCAAAAGAGCAAAATAATTGTCATGTGACTTCAAATCCTTAGTATTATCCAAATAAACCATTTCAAACACCATTTAATTAACATCTTAGTTATGAAGATAAAAAAGGTGGGTTTCTATGTTTTTTAATCAGGGTTTAATTTTTCTATTAAATTATGAAGCCAGAGATACAAAAACACTATATTCAGCTCATATTCATATTCAGTTATTTTTTTCCTCTTTAGTTCAGAGTAATTGTTTATATGTCTGTTTGCTAGAAAGGACATGTTCTCTTCATAACACAAACATAAAACAGTGACTCACCGGCACACTGATCCACATACCAACATACATACTAATAATAAATAAAAACACAATATAATTTAAAAGGAGTAATATTCTTCTGTTTTCATTTTATTGTGCCACGTGTATCACCACATCTAATCAGAAAGCCTCTAATCTCTCCTCCAGCCATAAAACACATGCAGCAACACGTTATATGTGGGAAAAACAAAAAAGCAAAAGCAGTTTGAACTTATAAAGAACAGAAAAACATGTACAGATTAAACACAGAGGCACTGAATTAAGCTACTAAATGAAAATATGGCCCAAAGCCTTCTATGAAGAAAGGTTGTGGCAATAAAAGGTGAACATTTTATAAACACAAAGCAGTGATTTTGTTTTGGTGATTGATGTAAATCACCTTAGCTTCTAACTGGCTTAAAAATAGCCTCCACTGCCTTATGTTATCTACCTATTATTCTATTATTATTTATCTTGTTGATCACTGATTTATGTTGACTTTCAGATACTGCTGTAGTTGGTTTTTAGGCCTACCATTTCTTTTGTTGTTCATTTGTCCACATATTTCTTAAGGACCCAGTGCACACCATGGTAAGATACGTTTTTGGCTAATAGCTCGTTGATACAATTTAACAGCGGTGAGACTGCCGTCTTTGGTATTTTTTGTTGTTGTTTTGAGATTCAAATTAAAAAAATAGAAACCTGTGATTTGATTTTGGAACAGATTGGTAATAACAAAGTACCTAAAGATACAATGTTTAATTAAAATTAACCATCTGCTTGTTAGCAGGTTTTAAATTTCACATAAAAGAAAGCCCTGCCATTGTGCATACATTTAATAACATTTTACCATTTTTTTTTTCACAGAACAGAGAAACCTTGCTTTAGTAAATCTTAAATAAAGGAATAACACAACTTTGTAATTCTGAGTCCAGGATTATTTTATCACTATTATTAGTTGCATTATTTTACTTCCTTACTTCCTGTGCTGAGTCAGTTCTGCATGGCAGCTTTGGCTAATCAAGAAATGGAGCTGCAATTTTGGGAAAACTAGCAAGAAGGAACTACTGACGAGTGCAATGCTAAAATTGCATCTAGCATTATTAAAGCAACATTTTATTGCACAAAGAAACACAGAATATCTTTTTAAAACTACCTGATCATTTTTAATAATCCTCACAGAGTCAGATTTGTTTGTCTTTTTAGCTGAAATTTTAGGTAGGAATAACATTGCAGTATACCCACAAGACAAAACTGGGACTTTAGCATTTTCATTGCTACAACTTTTTTCGACAGATGACTGTGGTCTTTTACATAGGACTGTTATTAATAATAATATCAGTGAATGTTGGCAAATTACGTAGTTTGGAAGCAAAGTTTCAGATCACACAAAGACGTGAAGAAAAATCACATCCAAAAACATACAGGCACAGAAAACACGTCAAATAAAATAAAAATCAAAACACACATCCAGCAAGACACATGTGGAGAATTTGGTCTTTAGGTTGATACATTCATGAAATGGAGAAGGCTAATTGTCATTTATTCAAGTACAACTCAAGCGGGTCCATCACACTTATGTTTAAAACGGAAGCAAAGATGTGATTACTTTGATGAACATTAGTGTACAGTTTTTCAGACATTTTACGTTAAGCTTACAACATTTTAGGGATAAACTGTCCTTCACTGTCCTCTGAGAACTGAGTAATTATCTGATGTGTTAACACACAGCACATATTAATAATAATAATAATAATAATAATAATAATAATAATAATAATAAAATCTTGTTTAGGTGTAGATTGTGCTTATCCTGATTCATCTGTACATGATTAGACACTAAAGTTGGTCTTCATGTACACTGTAGATCTACATAATTTATGATATTTAACAGAAAGCAACACAACATAAACAAAGAAACAAATAGACATCTTCCAGAACATGTGTGACCATAACCAAAGCTGTAACCATCAAGAACGTCGACTAGAATTAACGTAAAGCCTTTAGTCTTGGTGTTTTCTCCCAACAGACCGTTGAGCAATCATGGAGTGAGGGACGGCTTAGTTATGCAAATATTTCCCAAAGGCAGAGCTGCTTCAGTATGAAGAAATCATCTCTTTGAGCAGATAAAGAACTACATTTCTTTAGCCGAGTATTCATTAACTCACACTTTATACCCAAATCAGGTGTGGAGTACAGGTTGCCACTTGTGCCAGGGCTAGCACCATTTTCAGGGCAACTTAATCTCAGTCTAAGGCAACGAGAATTATGGCTTTAAAAACGTATTGCACATATTTCAAACACAGTAATTTTGGACAATATTGCAATTGATACTGAAATATTGCAGTTAGCCTTTGACCACCAGCACTGACTATCTCAATTTGAAGGTCATCAAAGGTAAAACAATCACAAGTGACAATATATATTTCAAAGTAATCAGTTATATATTAACTTATTTATTCAAAATATTAGTTAATTTATTAGCTAGCTCACTTTGAATTAAAAAAAATGTTAAGGGTCATTAGTTTTTGTTTTATAAACTATTTATGCTTAACTTTGTTTGACCGGTTATGTTTTACTGCTTTACCATAAATAATGTATTTTTAATTCAGTGTTTACGAAAGACTGAGGTTCGAGTTTAGTGGCAAAAAAAAAAGGTAAGTATAAATGCAGATTTCAAAGTAAGCAGTAATTCCACATTATATTCTATGTCCATTTAAATATTAGCTATACTAGTAAGATTGGGAGTTTTGTATCTGAGGTTGCTTAATGTTGATCTCAAGAGAAATCTGGTTTTAGGATATGTATTAGTGGTACTGTGATTAATATTTGTGGCCAAAACACTTAAAAGGGGTGTAGCAAGTAATCAGTCCATGGTTTGGTTCATAGCTTGCGGTTTTCTTTAATTCAATTATTCTTAAGTATTTCCAGGGGACTGTCTTTGGATGATCTTTCAACACCAGACTAGCGTGCCTTAACTAGAAAGTAACAGTTCCACATCAGAAGATGGAGCTAAGTGGGAAGTGATTAATTTCTCTGAATTGATACACCTACACTGGTTAATTTAGCTTTTTGTTTGTAACATCCAAAACGACTATTATGACGGTTAACTCTGATCCGAGAAGTCTAAAAGAAAAGACGTAAAAATCTAATATTATGTGTTTCAGATACAGGATGAACTGAAGGGCTGTATAAAAGGACCATTCAAGGATTTTTTTTTTAACTCAAAGAACGACAAAGAAGAAACGTAACGCATGTGTTATGTTGTAGATGTTTTTAACTGTTAGATTGTTTTGTTTTTGAGCTTTTTATTTCAGGCTTCTAAGAGACGATCAGCGCCACCAAAGCAGCCCTGCGTTTGAGACATAGAACGTGGACTCTGACGTACCGACAGAATAACTCAGAACTTACTAACAGCACAAATTTGTTTGTATTGCTGTTAAATGTGTGCGTTTACAGCCATTACTGCGCCGTTCTTTTAAATCTGCATATTGCCCAGTCTGTGCGAGCTTGGAATGAGTGTACTACACCGTATCAGTGTTTCCTGTTTAAGCCACAGTCGGTGAGAAGGCTGTGATTGCTTATGCACGGACACACTTGTGCATCGCGTGCATGTGTGGCATGTAGGAAAAGAAAAAGGCAAAAACCATGCAAACTGCTTAAGATGAACACTGTGTTCTAGTATTCATCTTTAGTGGTTTGCACATCACTTCCTGTTTATAATTCATAAACAAAAAAAAGAAAATCGTGTCTTCATAAACAACAGATTTATATTTTGGGCCCATTCAGACAGAGAAATGCAAGGAAGCTAACACAGAGCTGCAAAAGAACTTGTTGACTGGATTTCCAAGACGATTTGTCAGTCACTGGTTCCCTCTTGTGGTCTGACATATAATTGCTAGTTTTTTTTATCTTGTGCTTTTACATGAAAAAGTGCAGCAGTCCAATCAGATATTAGCTATGAAAGACTTCATAGTTGTTCTCCTATGCAAAGTGTCTCTGAGTGAAAGAGCCGTATGGACTCAAAAAGAGCCTGTATCAATTTTTAAGTTACAGATAAACCTGCTCTGATTGAACCATTGCTCTACCAGTGAAGTCTCTATTTTAACTGGTAGAAGAAGTGCATGTGCAAGTAATTATAATCCAATCTTTCCAAACTGCAGAAAAATAAATGAAAAATGTAAAACATAATTCAGAGGAAAAAAACAAATCCCAGGTGGAGGTGTCATCTTAAAACCAAACACACCTCCATTTCTTTCTTCACTCCAGCTAAACAAACAGCTGCAGTCTGACTCATGTTTCTTGTGTATTATGGGGTGCCGGCAGGTGATCCTTTGAGGCTGTTAAGGGCTGCGTGGATCCTGAAGTGCAGTCTGGACTCCATGGAGTAGTCCTTGTAGTTCGTCCTGATGATGACACACAATCAGAATCTCAAATAAACACGCGTTACGCAATCCTGCCTGCGCAGGAATGTTTTGTTTGGTTAGTATTTTTTTCTAAACCACTGTAAATCCCTCACTTGTGCATTTAGTGCCACCTAAACAATACTGTTTGTCCTGTCTGTGCAGCTCGAGTTATGGTTGCAAATTTCCACTGTAACATCCTGTAATGTTTTCACAACAAGCACACTATGAAGCAGAGGTGTGGACTCGAGTCACATGACTTGGACTCGAGTCAGACCCGAGTCATTAATTTTATGACTTTAGACTTGACTTGAAAAAATGTTGTAAGACTGTGACTTGACTTGGACTTTTATACCAGTGACCTGGAACTTGAATTGGACTTGAACCGGTTTACTTGAAAAGACTTGATATTTCACCCCAAATCTAAAATTTATATTTCATATTTCATATATAATTCATATATAGTATATATATAATATATAATTCATATTATATAGAAAGTGTGCACCATTAATTCAATTCATTCACTCATTTATTCAAACCACACTCCGTACGTATGTGTGCATGAGCTGTAGCACAGCCAATCAAATTAACCAGATTTTTTTTTAAGAAGAAAAAAA